TTGAGAGGCAGAGGCAGGTGGATCTCTGTGAGTTCAAGGCTAGCCTGGTCTACAAAGTGAGTCCAGGATAGATAGCCAAGGCACAGAGAAACCCTGTCTCAAAAAAACAAAAAACAAAACAAAACAAAAAAAAAACATTTTAGAGATGGCTGAAGAGAAGTCTGGTTAGAGTGTTTTCTGCTCTTGCAGAGACATGCATTCAGAGGCCAGCAGCCACATGGGTGATGGATAACTGCCTGGATCTCCAGCTCCAGGTGACGCACAGTCTTCTGGCCTTCAGAAGCACCTCCACATACAGTCACAGACTTCTTTTTAATAAGAGAGAAGAGAGAGAGCGCTAGAGAGAAGCAAGAGCAGCACAGTCTGAAGGAATTAGTCTCCTCTGGGTACTAGTTAGACCTGGAACTCACGGATCTCCTTGTTTGTTCTTGTCCTTTGAGGTGCAAAGCTTTTAGTTGCTCTATGTAAACAAATGCTAAAAATAGCTTAGCAAGCATTTGAACCTGGCTGCTAAGAGATCACCACGTGTGTCTGCTCAGCTTGTTGGCATAGCTGTCTAATGAGCACACCACACAATTGAGTTGGATTTACGCTGTGAAAATTGTCACTGACTGTAACACACCTCAGTCAGACATTTCAGAATGGGCTAAATCTGATTTCTAAAAAACTTAACGTATAGTTTGTATGTATGTGGAATAAAGGGACATTTCCATTCTTTCCATCTTTTCCTCACTCTTTGTATATGAAATCCGCCTTTCAGATTGGTCCTGATGGAAGCTTCAGCCATTAGTGAGGTCAGACTTGTCCAATAAATGGCCTTTCCTGAAGCTGATGTCTTAGGGGTCCTGTCATCCTAGAATGCTGCACCCTGAATTAATTATCACAGTAGAATAAAGTGGAAGAGACTATGATCAGAAGGAAGCTTGACTCAGTGGTCAGAAGTAAAGACACTTGCCACTGAGGCTAATGACTTGAGATTAGTCCCTTGGACTCACATGGTGGAAAAGAACTGTCTCAAATAAATTCCCCTCTGACCTCCACATGTCATGGCAAGTGGACACACACACACTGGATGTACATTTTTATTTGTTTTAAAGAGAAGAAACCTTAAGCCCCTTCATTTCTCCTGCCTGTGAGGCCAGCATAGGGATACATGCCTGTAATCTCAGCATGCAGAAGGCAAAGACATCAGGAGTTTGAAGACAGCCTCAGTCACATAGGGAGTTTGAGGCTCCTTGAAACCCTGCTCAAACAATTGTGCAGCAGCATCTCAACCCCATGAACCATTCATTGTTTCACACCTGACTCTGCTCAGGCAGGAACTGGCTCTGAGGGTGTTAGAAGCTATCAGAGTACTGACCAGTGCTGAGTGTTAGAGTGTCGGGGCTAATCCTGATCTTACCATGTGACCCTAATGAGAGATTCCTTACCTTATTAGTTGAGCTTGTGTTACTAAATTAATTCTGCAAGCTTGTTGAGTGTTTGCTGTTCTTTGGACTCCGTTAGGCAGTGTGAGAAATCCACATAGTCACTGGCTCTCTTCAGAGGGTGAAGCATTTGCTAATGGCAGTTTTGAGTAAGGAAATTAGTGGTAGTCGTTTCATGCTTGTTGCCCCTGGAGAGGGCCAGCCAGCTAATCTCCCCAGGAACCCTGTAAAATATAGGTGGCTTCTGAAGGTGGGGAGGGTAGGAGTGGGTGGAAGGGAACCTCGGGCCCTGGAACATAACTGTAGGTGGGGCTGAGGACATGGCTCCAAGGTGAAGAGCACTGGCTCTCTTGTGACCCTGCTTCAATTCCCAGCACCCACAACTGTCTGTTACTCCAGTTCCAGGGAATCCGACACTCCCACACAGACATATATGCAGGCAAAACACCAATGTGCATAAAAAAGGAATCATTCAAGAAGATTAAAAATATTAAAATAAACTATAGGTGAAAGAAAGCAATAGTAGGAATACCTCTGCTATGTCAACATGGGGCTTGTCACCTTTCATCGCCCTATTTAGTCACCAGAGTTAGCACTGTTTGAAAAAAGTATCGTTACTCCACTTGATAGGAAAATGGACCAGGTGTGCTAATACACACCTTTAATTCCAGCTGGAGGGCAAATGCTCTGAGTTTGAGACCAGTTTGGTTCTAGGTCAGGGATGTCTCAGAAACAAGACAAAAGAAGCAAGAGCACTGGCGTGCACCTGCCACAGCACACCTGTGGAGGTCAGAGGACGGCACTCGGGAGTTGTTTCTCTGAGGTTTGAACTTGGGTCATCAGGCTTGCTGGCAGGTCCTTTGCCCACTGAACCAGTCCTCTGGCCCTTCAGGTCATGCTCTAAACTGTAGTACTGTCTTCCCAAACACTAGCTGTGGATTGAAGCTTCTTTTTCAGTACCCATGATCAGGGAGACCCAGCAGCCAGGGCCCCACTTGTAAAACATCTCAGTGCTCAGATAGCCTTAATCTGTCCCGAATTTGGAACTGTAATGTGAATTCTGAGGAAAGAATTGGTGTTTGCTTTCTCTTATCAGAATTAACTCAAAGGTCATCCATTGAAGTAACTTCCAGCTAATTTGGTGATTCAAGCTAGAGTTTCTCGTTTCAGAGGCCTTGCTTTAAAAAGTGAAAGCATTAAAACAAAACCAAAAAAAAAAAAAAACCCCTCACAACCTGTGCAATGCAAAGCCAAGCTTTTATGAGCCTATCTGCTCAATTTTTCTTTCTCACAACCTATATCTGCTACTCGAGATACAGATCTTAACACTTCTACAGGATGTTCTAGGTACTCTCCGACTTCCGGCTGGTGTCTGTGCTTACATTGCATACATAGGTGATTCTGGTATCCTTAGCAGCAGAACCCATCTGCTTACTGAGGATAAACCAGGCCTTTCTCCTGCCTTATAGTTAGGTTTGTCAGGCGACATCAAGAACATCCAAAACCCTCATCACCTAACCATCCCTTATATTAGTAACCATTTATTGGCTTTTCACAATGTGCCTGATACTGGAAAGTCACTGTCTCTGTCCTTTCACATCAGTGTGATAAGGCAGGTAGTGGTACACTCCTTTATAGATAAGAAAACTGAAGCTAAAAGACCAGAAACTCACAACAAATTTACATAGTTAATCAATGCTTAATGTGGAACCAAAATTCAGACCTGTGACCTTAAAGTCCATGTTCTTAATGACTTCCATTGTGTCCAGACACCTGAGGACAGGTGCCCAGCTGCTTTGTCTTGGCTTTTTAGATGCAGGGTTTTAAAGCAAAGTTTTGCCTGGTTTCTAGGGACTGGCACCATTTTGGAGGAATTTTGCCCCCTTTATGGCCTTGAGCCAAGACCTAGGCTGCAGCCATTCAGCTATGAATGCTATCCACAGCGTGAGAGAACGGGTTTACCTGTATGCCTGCCATTGCTGGGTACCAATCCTCTTGCTCATAGCACTGAAGGCAGAGCAAATAGTTGACAGTGTGGACCCAGCAGGCAAAACCATCTGGATTTTTAGAGGGAAGAAGGGGAGATAGGCCTCTGTCCTTGTTGCCTCTTCCCTTGAAACCCAAACTCCGAGCTTCTCCCATCAGGACCTAGCCCCTCTCTTGGTGTTCTCCAGCCTTTTTGGAGGCAAGAACATTGCTCTGAGGGAAAGTCTGTCCCACTGGTAGATCCTGACCCTAGCTGACTCCCTTTACCCCCTGCCTTTTGTCAGAGGCAAGTCCCTCACACTTACCCTCCCAGTTCTCTGATGAGCAAGGTTTTCCTTGGTGTTATGGTCTTCCTGCCCATCAGAGAGCTCCATGCAAGTTTCCAGGGGGCGTACTCATTCCCTTCCCTGGCCCTTCTTCCCTGCCCTGTCCACTGTGCTAACTTGACAGAGTGCCTTTCCTCCCACCTGCCCCTCCGGTTGCCTTTGTTTGATTTAGGGTCTTAGAAACTGAAGTCACATCAAATTTGGCTGGCAGCCCCTTTATTATCTACCTCAGAGTTCCAGGATTCCCAAGGTCAATTGAATTTTGAATCCTCACCCCATAGAGAGTCAGATCAGGTATGGTGACAGACACTTTGTGAGCCCCGATTTCAGAAGGTGAGACAGGAAGATAAAAAGTTGTAGACCACACTGAACTCTATAGTGAGTTCCAGGACAGTGTAGACTATATAGCTGGACGCTGTCTCAAAAAACAAAAGTCAGAAACACTGTAGGGGACACACCACTTTATGCCCCATCAAAATAATAATAGTTGTGGCTTATTCTTGAGGGTGTCCACTGTACCTCAATGCTTGGATACCCAAAAGTGTGCTCCAAGAGATGAATAAGAATGGTGGGTTGGCACCAAGAGATAAAAACAAGTGGCAGATGGTGCTTAAGGAACATCCCAGGACTGAAGAAATGCAGTTTCCAGAAAGGGAAAAGCAGGAAGGCACTAGCAAAGGCTGTCCTCAGCACCTGGGACAGCCTGGTCAGAGGAGGCCTCGCAAAGAAGCTCGAGTACTGTGGTATCAGGGACACCGGTGACTATACAGAGGACACAGCCTTGGTATCCATGCTGGGCTGGTCAGGAAAGGCAGGGAATGGAAAAGAGTCAAAAGTGGTCCCAGAAGCTAGGCAGGATGGTACAGGCCTGCAATCTCAGCAACTGGGAGGCAGGGACCAGAGGATAAAGAATTCAAGGTCAGCCTTAGCTACACCATCTCAAAAAGAAAGAGGAGGTAAAAAAGCTAAGCCAGATGGCAATGGTGCCCCCCTCTCCCTCCCCGTCTTTAATCCCAGCACTCAGGGCAGCCTCGTCTGTAGATGAGTTGAGTTCTAAGACAGCCAGGGCTACACAGAGAAAACCTGTCTCACATACACACATACCTACACACACACACACACACACACACACACACACACACACACACACACACCACAAGATCTCATAAACCAAAATTGTGCCCTGTGGGCCTACCTCCTTGCTTTACATAAACATTCTTGCCAGGGACTGAGACCCTTCTTGGCCCTTGATTGCCCTCAGGTACTAGAGGTGGTACGAGCCAACTATGACACCCTCACACTGAAGCTGCAAGATGGCCTGGACCAGTATGAGCGCTACTCGGAGCAACACAAGGAGGCTGCCTTCTTCAAAGAGCTGGTGAGCACTCCATCCCCAATGCTGCCTGTGTCTCTTGGGGGGACCCATTTTTAAGACACTGGGATCTGCTGTAATCTAGGGTATGTTTGCAGTTTGCTGAAGATTAATAAAACTAAAGGGGTTTGGTATGCAGCTTTTCTACCAAAGCATTTTGGAATGAGGCAGTGAGAGGCAGATAGTCCCAAACCAGCATTACCCACCTCATCTGTCTGCAACCACAAAGACAGCCTTGCACAGCTGCAGCTGGGCTGGGGTCTGGTATGTGTTGCCAGTGGCAGCCACTCCTTTCCCTGTCTTTAGAGCAGCTAGTGAGAGTAACTGATCCTCCTGCAGTCACTCCTTCTTCACTCCCTAATTGGTCTCTGGCCTGAGAGTTCCCCGGCCATGCCGAAAGCCCCCCCTTACTATAGCTCCCCAGTCCTCACTCTCTGTGTCCACTCTCGTTTTTCAAGCACCCAGTCTCTTCCAGGCATGACTCCAAGCTGGTCTCTCCCTTTCGATTGTCCCTTTCCTGTTTCCTACACTCCAGGAAAAGCTCTACCTCCCTGTAGCTATGCTGCCCTCTTGGTTGACACAAACCCTGGTAGCGAATGGGACAGGATGCAGAGGCTCTAAACCCACTAAGCTGGACAAAAGTGTGTGACAAAGGTGCCAGATCTCAGAGCACCACAGTCCACCTCTAACCCTGACATGAAATGCCTGAGGATTTTTCTGTGGCGAGTTACTTGTGAATAAGAAAACCATCATGTAATGAGAAAGTAGGCGCAGTGTTTTTAATGAGATTGAATGGTGATTTTTACATCAATGTGGAGATTTACTGAGAGCCAGAAACAAATAGAAAATGTCTTTAGGTTATGGAGAGTGGTTGTAAAGGGCAATCAGCCTCTCTCTCTCTCTCTCTCTCTCTCTCTCTCTCTCTTTCTCTCTCTGCACAGTATCTCACTATGTAGCCCAGGCTGGCCTGGGACTTGCAGTGGTCCTCCTGCCTCAGCCTCCCAAGTGCTGGGATTATAGGCATGAGCCTCCACAGCAGAAGCTGTCTTTCAGCTCCTTGGCACTGCCTCTGCTTTCTACTCCTTCTGGCTGTTCCTCTGGCACAGAGGAGCAAACTTGTAGTCCACTGAGGAGCTAATGAACTGGATTTGCCTGGTATTGGCCCTGCTTGCTCCTTCCTTTACTTCCTGTCCGTTGACTCCACTTACTCTCTTGGAGCAAAGCAGAAGTTAAAGAAAAGCTTCCTGGACTTTGGGGACTAAGGCAGACACCATTCTTTCCCTCAGAGGGTAGTTTACTTATTTCTGTGGACAAGCCTCCTTGAGAGGCTACTGAATTCATAAAGTCACCTGGAGTTAAGCGTCTGGATCTCCCATCCCCTTCTCCACAGGCCTTTCTCCTGCCAACACAGTGAACACTTCATCTTGGCCAGTGCCTTAGGAACTGCCCTCTGCTGTTTGTAATGGACTGTCTTCTTTCTGCCTCTGCCCTTCCACCTTCCAGGTTCGGTCCATTAGTACCAATGTCCGGAGGAACCTGGCCTTCCACACACTTAGCCAGGAAGCCCTCCTGAAGGAGTTCTCCACCATCTCCTGAGGCTGCACATGCCTAAGAGCCACTGACTGCCTTACCCATGAGGCTCCTGGGCTGGAGGGTGAGCACAAGGAGAGAGGACTTCCTTCAAGGTTGGAGAGAAGCAGACGTCGAGACTCTTGGTGAAGGCCATGCTTCAGTGAGCTTGGACAGCAGGGGCAATCCCAGGATGCATATTTGGGAAGAAATGGGTGGGCAACAGAAGAGGCAACTGAAAGTGTGGGCTTTCCAGGCTGCACTCCCTGGATTCTGCCTCATGACTCCAGTTGAGATTCCAAGTTCTAGCTTCTGATTGTTCACATGCTGGTCAGGCAGGCCTCAGCTGATGCCAGCACTCTGAAAGCCAATGGCTGTTCTTGGCTGATGCCACATCCTGTTTCCTTTTGGACCCAGAGCTGAGCAAGGCCCCTGCCCTCACTGCAGTCTACCCAGTCCTTAGCACTTCAGCATAGAGCAGCAAGGCAGGGATTGGCACCTTTTTCTGTTTTCTGAGTTCAAAGTTGACACCTCTGGGAATTGGAGATTGGATGTGCCTGGTGCTCTGCTGTTAGACCTCTCCTTTCTGGGTGTTCGTTTGGCACTAGGAGCACCTGTTCGCTTCCCCATCCTTCCAACTGTTGACTCATCAGCACAATAGGCCCACAACTTTAGCCTTTCGTTTTTAGTCTGTTTTAAACTGTCTTAAAAGAGTGTGTGTGAAATAAACATTGACAGGTTTTCTGGAGCCCTCAAGGTGCCTACTTTGCTAGTTCCCTTTCCAGCAGCTCTCCCTCCCTACCCACCCCCTCCAATGGGAGCCTAGATGAGCTCCCCTCCACGAGTTCCACCCCCTCACCCTGCTGTTGTTTACATTCAGCCTGCCTAAGAATTTCCTCTGGAGGGAATCTGTTCCTGCTGTGGTCTGGTGCTGGGAGTTAGAGAGCCTGCTGGGGTAAGGTGCTGAAACAGGCTAGGTGAGCATCAGGCCTGAGGCCTCCATCTTGTCTAGCCATAGTCTAGTTGGGCCTTGGGCACACCCAACCTTCATGAAATTGGTCTGTTGATTCTGTCTTTGGATATTCTCCATGGAACCGCTGTAGGGCTTTCCTTTTCCCACAGCTTCTGAAACAGCTGCTGCTCTAAGGTCCCCCAGGATGGCAGGGGCAAGCAGCACAGTGGGGACCGGAGGAGGTCAGAGAGTGGGTCTGGAGCTTCCTGAGCACCTGTCCATTTATCGTCTGTCTTGTTGGGATACTTGACCCCCTGGAGGCCAGAATTCTGATTGAGCGGAAGTGACCTAGTTGTAGAGAGTTTGTCAACAGACTGACATGCTTAGATGTAAACTCTTAAGCTGTGTGGACTGGGTCATCTCTGATAACTGATCACCAGATGGGTAACTTAGCCTGAGGTTTTTAGTGTTTTCCATGGTGATAAACCCCAGAGCAGCTGGAGCTGGAGCTGGTGGCAAATCAAAGCAATTAAAAATTGATTTGTGTGGGACAGTCTCTTTAGTGTTTTTTCCCCCCTTCATGTCTTTAATGCAGGTGTTGGACTTGGATAAGGGACCTTTCCTTAAGACTTTACCCCTGGTCCTGGTCCTGATGGTGGCCAGCTGGGTTCAGAAAACTGTGTCTTCCCTTGCCTCTGGGTGAAAAAAAGGAGTAGTGTTATGGGTAGGTCTCTTGGGTGCCTTCTGCGTTTCTGCCAGCCTTTCCTATACAGGAACAATCACACTGGTAGTCTGGTATGAGCAGCACTAAGCAAGCATTCCTTTTCTTCCCTGACTAAAAGCCCACCTCTTGAATGGTTTGTCCTGTACACCTATAACCTGGAGTCCACATCCTCTTGTAGACATGAGTGTGGCTGGTGCCTCTGACAGCTCCTTTGAGGTCTCTGAGAGTGTTCCTCCAAAGATGGGCCTCCTTACAGCTGCTGCCTGTCCCAGTCTCACACAGGAACACCCACCACAGTTCACGGACTCAGGTGTTTAGAAAGTAAATTTGATTGAAACATTGAGGTATGCTGGCCGAGGCTTTTGGTCTCAGCAGGCCCTTCCTGGAGACATGAAGCTCACGAGGTGACCCTGTGAAGGCTGTGCAGTGCTGGCCCTGCCTTCAGAAAATGAGGGGTGGCTTCACAAGAAAGACACGTCTTTTCGTGTCATACCTGGCTCCCCAAGCCTTTCAAAAGGTCTGTAAATCTGCTGGAAAACAAAGTCTAGCAGGTGGCAAAAGAGAAAGGGGCAGAAAAGTTGAGAGAAAAAAAGGAAGGCAGGAGAAATGAAGACTTGAGAAATTGAACAGGTTCACTTTTTTTTAACCTTTCCTGTTGGCAGGGAGTGTGGGTGTGTATGGAGGGGGGGTGTTGTCATCAGATCCGGGAAGAGAGCATTTAGAAAGTGAGACCCCTCCTGGAACTTGAGAGAGACAAATGTACCAAGTGCTACCGGTGAGCCTGTGTTCTGAGTCCGGGTTGACTCCGATTCCCATCCCGCTAGAGGAGAGTGCTTGCTGGTTGGGAACACGCAACACGGGGCAGGGGGGAACAACCATGAAAATGAGGTTGACGTGAAGACCAGAGGGAAAAAGGGACATATCCCCAGGCTCTGGGCCTGCTTGGCAGGACTGACCGACTGTGGGGGGAAGGGGTGCCTGAGAACTGGCGGCGGGGTTTCTTCACATTGGGGCTTTTTCTGGCCCCTCTTCCCGAAGCCCCGCAGTTTAGTAGGTGGCGTAGCTGAAGAGCTGTTCTCCTTTCCGACACTTTCCAGTTCACCCCTTCACCGGGTGCCTCCTCCGAGCTGCAGAGGGTGGGGGGCGGGGGTAGGGGGAACCAATCCCGGCAGCGCCTAAGAGGGGAGGCGGCGGTGACAGCCGCGGGGAGGGGGCGGAGGGGAGGCGGCTGGGCTCCGGCTTAGCGCTCAGCTCCACTCTGCCTTCCGCTCCGCTCTCACTTGCTGCCCAAGCCTCCTGCTCCTGCCCCAGGACCCCGAGGTGGGCCCTAAAACCCAAGCGTCCCCAGACCAAAGCTCTGCCAGCCCCTACTCCCGCCCCCGAGCCCTTGCCGGTCACCGCACCGCCAGGGGGCGCCGTGTGAGCGCCCCATCCCGGCCACCCGGCGCCCCCTCCCACGGCCCGGGCGGGAGTGGGGCGCCGGGGGCCATGCGGGGCCAAGGCCGAAAGGAGAGTTTGTCCGAATCCCGAGATCTGGACGGCTCATACGACCAGCTTACTGGTGAGTCGGTGGCTCAGGGGACCTGGGAGGGTGGGCGGACTTCATCCCCCTAGGCCCTTCCACCTCCCCGATCCTGGCTTGGCCCCCACGCACACTCTGCCCCATCCCCACGCATCTTCCGGGCTGGTCTGGGCAGCAAGACCCTAGCATTCAAAGCTTTGAGTCCCTCGGGGAGGGGGGAGGGGAGGAAGAACAGGTGAAGCAGGTGTGGAGAGGCAGCAGGTGTAGGCGTGTGTGACACAGGACTAGGAGTGAGTCTGGAGTGGGAGGTGTTACGTGTGTAAGAGCACCTGTCGTCCTGTGTGTCTGTGTATGTATATGTGCGCCTCCTACAGCTAGTTGCCATGTGCCTCGAGCTTTGGTGACAGCCAGGGTGAGTGTGATTGCATGAGGCAGTGCAATTTTACGGACTTGCCAGATGTTTGTGTGTGGTTGTGTAGGACCCTGGTCGCACTAGTGAAGTTGTTTTGACCGTGTGTCTGTTGAATGTTCAACTGTGTGCCTTGAATGTTTCTGTATGAAGTGGCATGCAGCTACCGGTGCATCAGGACCTCACTGTATGTCGGTTCATCCCTTTATCAGATTGCTGGATGAGCATCCTTTTGTGTTTAGTGATTGTGGGGCTGTGGGTCATTTTAGTATTTGGTGCTGGCGTCCCTCATGCATGCTGCCTGCAGTGGGGTCTCTGTGGGTGTTGATGCTCTTCTGCCCTCTTTGCCTCTCTGTCTTCCTGGTGTTGGTGAGGATCTTTCGTGTCCCCATCAGCTCCCTCCGTTCTCTGCACATAGCTCAAGGACCCGGACAGGGACCCCACCACCCAAACAGCCTGGCTTGCAGAAGCATGCTGTGGTTCCAGCCCCTGGCCCCTGGGGAGAGCCTTTCATCAGTCCTGGGTTGCTGCCTACCAGGAGAATTACTCAGATCATCCTCAGCAAGAAAAGCTCCTTTAATCAACAACAACCCTTTTAGAACTTCACCCAAACCTCATTCTCTTGCTTTCCTTCAGAGCCAGATAGAAGTTACCGCATGCCCCGCCCCCAGCCACTTCACTGCCCGCTTTGCACAGGGGCGGGGGTCTGCGAGGCCAAGTCCATCTCTGTATTTGTAGAGTCCTAAGCTTGGTAGGTGGACTTGTGTTTGTGTAAGTGACCCTGCCACCTTTGTGTACATGTTCCTGTACGTCTCATTGTGCAGTCTGCTCAAGAGCTCCAACCAAGAGGAGGGAGGCCGTCCCTCTCCTAACATGAAACAAAGCTGGACAGTTGTGGAAGTTGGTAATCCTTGCCTGCCTTAGTGGAGTCAGGTTAGACCAGGGAAGCAGGAGGGGGCCAGGGTCTTGGGCTTTGAGAATAACTCTGTACTCCTGACTGACTTTGTTGGGAAGGCCCCAGTTGCAATGTCAAGACCCCTAGAAGGAAGAGTGTTCACCCATGTAGAATCCGGAGGCCCTGCTGCCCGGTCTACTCTGCACCCACCATCAACTTGGGCTCTTGTAAGATAGTCCGGGTCCAGGGGCCCCCATCAGCATGCTGTTGGTTTGCTTTCTGCCGTGATCCTCCCCTCAGTGAATGATATCTTCCTTGCTGGGCTTCTTTATTTATGTTTAATTTATTGGGAGATAGCGTTTTGCTGCTTAGTCCTGGCCTTAAACATGTAGAAAAAGGACTTCCAGAACCTCTTTGTAAAGAGAAGGTTATCTTGTAACTGGAGTAGGCGGTTTGGAGCCAGAGGGGAGTCGTTGTCCGCGGTGCTGAAGTGTGCTCCAGCCCTCCTCTTTCCTCTGCCGGCGGGATTTGGGTTGGGAGAAGAGGCTGTATCTCTGTCATCTTAAATCATAACGCTGGCAGCAAAGTAGTCTTAAAAGTTATGGTCCAGAGCATCTTGGATATACCCCGACCATGCCAGTCTTGCTCCAAGCTCAAAAGAGTTGAGAAAGAGTGTCTTAGCAGGGATAGGGTAAGATGTGCCCTCCCCCTCCCAATTCTTCACTCTTACCCACCCAGTGGGGGCCGTTTGCTACTCAGCGGGGAAGGCTGCGCTCAGCGCTTAGCAGCGACCGCATCTGAAAAGAGGCAGAGAAGGAACAGTACAAGCTGAGTTGAGTTGGGTTCTGACTGGCCATGCCCCAGGGCCTGGATCCAGGATCTGCAGTCTTGTTTCTTCGGCGATGAAAGTATCGTTCCTGGGTGTGCAGCGCCCCCGTGTGGCTAAAGTGCCCTGCATACAAAGCTAATTCCTTGTGGGCACCGTTTGCCGACGAGATCAAGTGGACAAGGTATGGAGTTTGAGGGTAATCGTCTCCTGTTAAATGTATGCTCACTCGCCCGCCCCTCCCTCACACAGTGGAAGAAATGGTATTTTACGTCTTCTATGGCATTTCCCAGGATTTTGAAGTGTTAGTTGGTGCTGGAAGGATTTGCGTAGGGTTTTAGTGTCATCAATGAATTCTAGAAAGGGGCCTGAACAGAGAGACTTAGCAATGAGGGGGTTCTATTTGTCACAGCTGGCTGGCAGCCAGCGTAAGATGGTCTAGCGTTTTTAGAAAGAAGACTCAAAAGACTACACCAGACATAGTTTTAAAAGGGATCCGGAGCCAGGAGGCACATAGCCTCGCTGCCTCTTCACCAAGATAATACATTGTCCTTTTTCCTCCCTCCTGCTTTCTCTTCCATTGGCCCAGGAAGTGTGGAGAGTTGCCATGACAACTATGTCCTCTCACCCCTCAGCGTCCCTGTGCTAATATGGGAGGTGGGGGTGGGGAAGACAGCCGGAAGAGGGATTGAAATGGAGCAATAAAAGGTAAATAAGGTCTGCCTGGTGTAGTGGTTTACATCTGTAATCCCAGCAGTTGGGAAGATGAGACAGGAGGATTGCCACGAGTTCGAGGCCACCTCGAATCATGTTGCAAGTGCCAGACAAGACCCGATCTGAAATGAGAAATAAGCCATTCATCATCCAGTCCTCCAGCTTTTCCCAAAACTCCTGTGAACCTCTTTTCCTTAACAGAAATCCAGAAGACGTTTGGAGGGAAAGCTGTGAGGAGATAACGCCTGCCCCCTGCCACACCCCCACCTCCGAGAGCTTTGGGGGTGGGTGCAGAGATCACGGTGCTCCTGTGAGGTCAGCAACCTGCAGATGGGAGGCTCGGGGTCTGAGGCACCCCGCCTGCCAGCCTTGCCCTCTCGCACCACCCACTCTAGTGGGGGCGGCACCGCCCTCAGTCAGGGACCTTGGGGGCGGAGCTTGGACACACTGCTCTCAGCCGAGCCATGAACCGCTGCCCCCGCAGGTGCCGGAGCCCGTTGGGGCAGGCAGCGCGATCCCTCTACCAGTTGGTGACTGGGTCGCTGTCGCCAGGTATGAGGAAGGGAAGGGAGGGGTAGGACCCCTCTAAAACTGAGTGGCTCGGGATTGGAGCCTTACAGAGGTGGAGAGAAGGGCTTCTCTCAGAGATCGGAAGGAGCAAGGGCTCGCACGTAATCAGGGCAAGAGGGCAAGATCTCTGACATAGAGCAGGGGATAAGGATCACTCCCAAAGCATCAGGATAAGATAAAGCTTTGGGCATCATGGTTCACAACATTGGGAAGGGTAGGGCTGCTCACTCAAGGGTGAAGAGCCTCACAAAATGGGCAGGGTGAGGGGATGGAAGGAAGAAGCTTGGTGCTGAGCTGGGGAGAAGTAACAGCCCCTGCATTGCATTACTTGGGGTTGGAGGGGGGCGTACAGTGACCTATCAGTGTCAAAAAAAAAAAAAAAAAAAAAACAGAAACAAAAACGGGGGGAGGAGGGAAAAAATGAAGCTAGAAGAAGCTGAGCTCACTAGTGAGTTCATGCCTGACCAGACAGATGGAACTGTGTGACACAGATTGTCACTCCTTTGTCTCTGGAAGCCCGTGTAATGGGATTGTGCATCCTTACCAAGCTGTGTGTCACCAAGGTTCTGCATCCTGGGACATCACTAGGATGGCCAGGGTTATGTGCTTTGGAGTTCGGTTTGAGAACCCTGAGTCAGTACACTTCAACTTTCATGAAGCTGTACCTTGGCAGGCATGAAGTTTGTGGGGTTTATGGTGTGAATTGTGGATTTCATGTGGTGTTACTGGGTTTGCGCATACCTCCACTTAGGTGTCCTTAGGGCTACCTGGGCCCACAGAAGAAACAACCTGATCCCATGGCATTCTGGGACCTGTAGTTTTCTGCCTCATTACATGAGGTTCCCCTTGAACCCCTGGAGTATAGTCAGGGCCTGGGGCTACTTCTTGACATTTACTGCCAGGAGGAGCCATGTGAGAACCATGCTTACAAGTCTCTTGGGGAGCATGCATCCCCTCAAGCCCCCTGCTTGGGCTTGTCTCCAGTGACAGATGGCTGGAGCCAGGCAGGGCCAGCTCTCAATCACTGTAGGCATGACTTCCAGGACCCAAAATAGCCCCACCGCCTAGGGAGATCATTAATCACCTGATGCAGCTTGGGGGCTGTGGTATCTTTTTGATTAGCTGGAGAGGGAATGGTCTGGGGGCTGAGAGAAGGGCTTTGGGGTCTTTGCTGACAGAAGGAGTGACAGTGGTGAGCAGATGGCATAGGGTGTGGGTTCCTCCACAAGGCAGTATTTTTCCAGACGTGAACTGGAAAGCAAATGGCTAAATGGTAGCAGTATCTCTGTGGTGAGATTTGAGATGTCGGGGAGGGACCGGCCAATGCCCTAAAGGCTTAGTCTTAAGTTCTCACTTTGCCTAAAGTGATTCCATTAAGATCTCACTCTGGAGCTGGCTATAGGGCTCAGTAAAAGGGTGTTAACCTCAAATCTGCAAGGCCCTCAGTTCAATCCCCAGTAGCAAAGCAAACAGACATCTTTATAGCCGGTGTGGCTGTACATACCTGTGATCTTAGCACTCAAGGCTAAAAGACCGCTGTGAGTTTAAAACCATTTTAGGCCACATATTAAGTATCAAGGCTACATAGAAAGACCCTGTCTTTAAGCCAGGTTTAGTGGCATACACCTTTAATCCCAGCCCTTGGGGGGAAGCAAAGCCAGGAAGATCTCTGAGGCCCTGATCTACAGAGTGAGTTCCAGGACTCACTTTTTTTTTTTTTTTTTTTTTTTTTTTTAACAGCCAGGGCTATTAAACAGAGAAACCCTGTCTCAAAATACTAAAAAGAAAAAGAAAAAAAAAAAAAAAAAAAAAGACCCTGTCTTTCAAAAGAAAAAAAAAAAAAAATCTGGGTGTTATGGCAGAGGACTGTTAGTTTGAGGCTGACCTGAAGTTCATGATGAGCACTCAGCTAGTTCAGGCTACAGATAGTGAGCCCATCTAGAAAGAAGAAAGAAAGAGAGAAAAAGAAAAAAGAAAGAAAAAGAAAGAAAGCTGGGCAAGGTGGCACACACCTACACCTGTAATCCCGCACTCAGGGAAGCAGGTCTCTGTGAGGTTGTTTGGTTTGGTTTTGGTTTTTGGAGACAAGGTTTCTCTGTGTAGCACTGGCTGTCCTGGACCTCACTCTGGAGAGCAGGCTGGCCTTGAACTCAGAGATGTTCCTGCCTCTGCCTCCCAAGTGTTCAGATTAAAGGTGTGTGTCACCACTGCCTGGTTTGATCTCTGTAAATTCTAAGCCCTTATTTATATAGCAAGTTTCAGGCCAGTCAAGGCTATAGTAAGACTCTGTCTCAAAAATAAAATAAAATAAAGTAAAAACCAAACAAAAATGTCTCACTGGGCTCTAGGAGGAAGGCAGATTCTGGAGAAGAGTGCCTTCTCTCACTCCCCACAGACCCTTCTACCAGAAGCCTGGTTGATTTAGAGCCAGGAGTCAGTGTGAGACTAGATCAGGGTCTCTGAGGAAGGAAGAAGGAAGTCACATGGACAGAACAGTTGAATGCAGAGTTGTCAGTCTGTCCATCTCTCCAACAGCAGGAAGCAGGAGGCTAAAAAAAAAAAAAAAAAAAAAAAGATGGTGTCTCTTTCAATCCAGATATTCTGCTTAGTATTCATAGACTCTAGCCCTTTTAAATTTTGTCACCCTTAGCTCTCCCAACGTGACCTGTCTTCTTCACATTCCTGAGACCATTGGAGCTGGCTGAGAGAGCTGGCAAATGGCAGGCTGTAGCCAAAGTCCTGCGTTGTGCTTACCAAACGCTAATCTTTTTATTAAGGTGAGCTGTTGATATTTGAGCCAGCATTTTTTTTTTTTTAGATGGATTTTCACTATGTAGCCATGGCTGGGTAGCCTGGAAATGTCTATGTGGTACAAGCTGGCCTCAAACTCCAAGATCTGCCTTTGAGTGCTGGTATTACAGGCAGGTGTGCTCAGCTTAAAGTTGGACACGCTGGCACTTGTAATGTCAGCACCTAGGATTTGGAGGCAGAGAACCTGGGCTACCCTGAGCTACATAGCAAGACCCTGCACTACGCATATAGCTTTAAAAACAACAAACAAATATCCCAAAGGCTAAGAATGTTGTTCAGTGGTAGAACTATTTTTTTAAATATGTATGTCTGTATATAATGTTTGTGCAGAGGCACACAGAGGCCAGAAGAGGGCACCAAGTCTCCTGGAGCTAGAGTTCCAGGAGGTGGTGAACTGTTGGCTGTGAGGAGTGAACCCAGGTCCTCTGCAAGAGCAGTATGTGTTAACTGCTCAGTCTCTCTCCAGCTGCTCAGGAGTAAAAACTATTGTCTAGCATGTACAAGGCCCTGGGCTTTGCTCCTCAGTACCACTAAATCAGCTTAGATTTCCCCTGACCTCCCAGTTAGAAAGTTTTTGGTATATACATTGGTCGGCCTTCCTAGAACAGTTTTTCACACAGTGGTCGTATAACAGAACAATTTTAGATGAGCTTTTCTGTGAGGGCTCTCTCCCCACCCAATGAAAGTTAGGCTTGAGTTTGGATCTCCTTCACCTTGTGCCAACCTTGTGCTCAATTTGTATGAGTTCTTCTTCTCTTCTTCTTTCTTCTTCTTCTTTCTTCTTCTCTTGTTCTTGTTGTTGTTGTTGTTGTTGTTGTTGTTGTTCTTCTTCTTCTTCTTCTTCTTCTTCTTCTTCTTCTTCTTCTTCTT